TACGGTTATATTATCTGAAAAAAATCGGTCGTACGTACTGAAAGAAAATTGAATTTAATTGCAATTAATTGCAATTATTTCGTTATTAATTGAATTTCAATTATTTTTGTGATAATTTAATTGCAATTAATTTTTCGGTAGGCCTGTTCATAGGTGCATTACACATGCATTGGAATTTTGAATTTCTTCTGTGATATATGTTATTGATATGTCGCATAACCAGATAATGCAACATTATATTCTAAATTATCGCTTATTCAGATTTATTATGTATTTTTAACATTAATTATTCGAGGTTCTCTTTTAAAATTATCGTATTCACATCGCCTATATATTCCATCCGCTATTTTTTTGCATGTTTTGCAATATAGATATGAATGGTGATTGCATTCGTCACAAACCTTACACCCATGCTTCCACCCAGTGTTGTACATGGATGAATGTCCAAGCAAATTATTGGACATGAACAATTTTGGACAATGTCCAATGTCCATGTCCATATAATTATTTGCGGCTAATAATGTACATAGACAAATGTCCAAACCAAATTCTTGGACATAGACATTGGACAATGTCCAATGTCCATATGATTATAAGAAATTTTGATTGGTTAAATATTTGTACTACAATTATAAAATTTATTAGCATTAGAGTTGAAAAGATAGATATGTTAATAAGCTGACAATCATGTTGGTAGTCCCGATTCTAAAAAAATCTGGTATATGCAAGGAGAAAGATAAGTATAAATTAATGAATTACCAATTCAAGTATTTATGATGCGAATACCAAGACATGTACGTATAACAATAGCGAGATATATAAAATAAAAGATCGGTAGAGGCAGCCCTCCAAAGCCAGGTAGGAAACCACTGGCTAAAGTTATATATTGCAAAGCTTCTGACCCCTTATGTTAATGGAAACCCACTGCTGATGCCAATTACAGTATACATCAATTGCACCAATGTATATTATATGAGTGCTGTCAATAGAAAACCTGTCATCGGGCTTTCAATATTCAGTTGATTTTCTGCATGCAATTTATAGGCGATCTATTCCAATAATAGATTGTCCATAGACGGCATACAGAAAGCCAACTAAATATTGAAAGCCCGATGACAGGTTTTCTAATGACAGCACTCATATGTATGCTATATATCGCAGTGCTATTTTGGTTTCAACAATTATAAGTTCAACAATACGTATAAAATAATACAAGATCGCCCACATACCTTATCAATACACAAATACTTTAATAACAATTAAACTTTTCCCGTATATTGTTTCAAGAGCTATTGTCTTCATTGTCTTTTTGCCAAACTTGAGATGCATTGTTTTTCTTTGATATAAATAAGCATTGTTTATAAAAAAAAAAAAAACTGATAACAATTCGCCTTTTTTTTTCTTTTTAAAGCTAATACACTTTCATTATAAAAAATAACCACAGACTTTTTCAGTCATCTCACATTTTAAGCTAATACTTATCATTATAATTTTTTTTTTTTGACATTTCAAAAACTGATTTTTTTTTTCTTGAGAAGCGTTTCTTTAACATGTAATTCATTAGAAATCCCAAGGGCTAATTCTGGCACAATTCTTTTTTTACATTTCATACATTAGATAGCCAATACTTTGTTGTATACGCTTTAAATAATCTCATATGCACTTTTTTTTTATTTAAACAACACTTTTTGTGTTGTAATTCAATAATTCAGTACATACCTTTTTCATATCGAGATATTCATTTATTATAGTTTACTACATACTTGCTGTGCTACCTTTGCCATCTATCCTAGATAAATACATCATTAAAAGCAATGAAAAGGTCAACAAATTTAATGTAAAAGTATACTACAAACCATGTATAAAACATTTGGGTGAAAAAGATGGTGGTAAATTCTGGGTTCTTAATAAAACAGACCAGATAATTTTGCACTTAAGAAAATGTAAAAATTTTTTCACTGAAATGACACCTGAAGATAGAGAAAAAATTTTTAGTTTAATTAATACTTCTTCAAAAGGTATCATTTATTTGTTTACTTATTTACTCATTCATTTTGCTTCTTCATTTACTTATTTTACTTATTTACTCTTTACTTACACATTAATTCGCTTATTTATTGATTTATTCATTTATTATAAAATTTTATTTTATAGAATCTAATAAAACATCTGATTCACGTCCTTTAAAAATCATTCGATCATCTTCTTTTGGACCAATAGATGATTACATTGTTAAGCCTTTGTTGCCTCAAGATGTAAAAAAATTTCATCAGCTTATTTTACGATTTACAGTTTCTTGTGGCTGGGCATTGCACTGGGTAAATAAACTAGAAGCAATTGAATTATTTGAATTTCTTAATCCGCTTCTCAAGCTTCCAGACCGACATGTACTTAGTAGTCAAGTTTTAAATAATGCAACTAATGAATCTGAAAAAGCAATACTATCTATTTTGAAAGATGATCAAATTGGCATTACACTTACTTTTGATGGTTGGACTAATGTTCGCAATAAGCATTTATTTGGTGCAGTTGTATTAATATCAGAAGGAAGGCCGTATGTTTAGAAAGCAGTGGATATTAGTGCAGAACATGAAACACATGTGGAAGTAATTGAAAAAATCAAAATAATGTTTACTGAATTAGATGTACAAGCAATAAAACCTATTGCTGTTGTAACAGATAGTGCAGGAGCATACGCTGCTGCTAGGTATATTTTATTTAATTTTTATTTTATATAAATAAAAATTAATTAATATTTTTTTATAGACATTGATTGAGAATTGCCAACAGATCAATTGTATTCTTACCATGTTATGCGCACCAAATAAATTTGTGCATTGGTGAAATCTTTAAAGAATCAATTGATTTTAAAAGAACAATAGATCAGGCAGTTCGTATTTCTACATATTTTAAAAATCCAAATAACAAATTTTTTATAGCAAAATTAAAGGATAAACAGTTTGCCAAATACAAAAAATATTTCATGATTAATGCTTCTGGAAAAACACGATGAAATAGTTATTTTTATGTTTGTCTAAGCCTTCTAAGATCACAAAAGGCATTACAAGTAATTAATATAATATTTTATTATTATATTAACAATTAATAGTAAAAAACCTTAATAACTATTATATTGTTATTATACTACTACATAGTTAAATCAATTTTTTTGTAATTGATTTTATAAGTTGAATATAATTGATCTATTATTTTATTACTTTATTAGATTCTTGCAATTAAGTTTGAGCTATCTATCGTAGAAACTTATTGTGCTGGAATAAAGCCAAAATTAAAGCGTGAAGTCTATGAAATTATTAGTTCAGCAAATTTTTGGACCAATATTCACGATTTGCTTAACCTTATTGTATTATTTTAAACAAATTGCAATCTGATAAAGCTCAGCTATATCAAGTTATCTTGAGTTTAGCTTTTCTTGCCCAATTTTGGGAAAATCATGATGACTTGCAGCTTAGTACTCAGCTTTTATTACGTTTAGAACGTCGATGGCGTGATTGGGAACAACCAATATTGATTTTTTCTTGCCTTTTACATCCTAATTATCGTACAGAAAAGTTTAATATAAATATTAATTATACTAACTTTGGACCATGGCTAATTTATTATTATCATGCATGGTTTGATAAAGAATCAAAGTGAATTTTAAAAGAATTTGATGATTTTTGTTTAAAGAAATACCTCTTCAATGTAGATATATGAGAGTATTTTAAAGGTGATATCTATGAATATTGGTGTTTTGCAAGAGGAGTAACAGAAGAATTAGGTTTAGTTGCAAGTCGCATTTTTGAAATATGCATAAATGCTGCCGCTGTGGAATGACTTTGAAGCTGTATGAGATTTCCCCAAACAAATCAACGTAATCGTTTAGTGGTAAGTTTATACTGTATAAGTTTAATAATGCAGAAGAATTGTTTTAATATTTCATAACTAGCTATGACATAAGCTTTAGCTAATTACAGCTTAAGGGTAGGGTGTACGTAGATCAATTTTTATATGATCTACGTGGTATATTGAATTTTTACATAGTTCTACTCTTAAGTCATAATGTCATTGAGGCATTATTGCAATAATTATTCTGCATTATTAATAAAACCTTTAATATATTTTAAATTAATATTTTACTAATTTAAACTTAGTTCTCCAAGGCTTTAAAAATGAGTAAATTGTATACAGATATTACATATAGCAATCGGATTCGCACTAATTTAAAAGAAAATCAAAAAGATTTATATGACAATACCTTTAATCAACAACATAATACATTTATAGAAACAAATTCTGCAGAACCAACTAATATTGAAACTTCTTCTTTAGGTGGTATAAATAATTCAAGCTCTTTAAAAATAAACAAACCTCCAAAAAATGTTGAAACAAACGAACTTGCAAAAGATATTGAAATTGAATCTTCAGATGAAGAATCCGAAGTGAATCTGTAAATATTGTAACTGATTTTAATAATTACTTACAAGAATGGATAAAAATGCTAGAAGAAGAAAAGCAACGATTTGAGGATGAAGAAATTGATGATGATTATATAGATGACGAAGAACTTTTTATCAATGATATTACTCATCCTGTGGTAGACACTAATATGAAGTGGAAGTTAGTTACTCTTTTCAAGAGGTTAGAGCTAAAAGAAATTATAGGTTAAATTTCTAGCAATAATTAAGCAAAGTGTAAGTAAAATAATATCTTTTCGCCAATATATAATTATAATAAGTTATACTCTAAAAAAAATAGACATTAAAGTACTTACATATAATATATCATATATATTAATTATTTAGAGATTCATTTGTTCACAAGAGATGTTAAAATCCTTGCCTTTTGAAAGAACATTTTAAAATAAGTTTAGATATTCAGTAAATTTATATAGTTCTAAATTTTTAAATTCGACCATTTATACAATATATTTTATGAGTTTTTTTAGAAAGTTTTAAGTGAAATTTGTTCCATTCAAATCAGAATCGCATGATTTAAATCTATTAAATATAAATTAGAACCGTGTGATTCAAATATATTAAATACAAATATTCGTGATAAATATAAAACTTTGGTTAATAAACATTATATTTTTTTGCTTTATGTAATTTTAGTTATTACAATAAATTTGGATGTTATTTTTTAATAATTCGATTCACTTAACAAACTGGCATAATAATCACAAAAATTATTAATAAAATATCAAATGCTATTTTACAAGGTAAAAGCATCTAATAAACATTTGGATGCAATAATGCTTTGCAGCATTTTATATTAGTTATCTGATTTTAATTTGTTGACTGATAATCGCTTTACAAGATTATAATGCTTAAATGTGACTTCGCATGTCAGTTTCATAACAACTTTTGATATAAATTACACTTGGTAAGAAAATAGTTGGTTTATAATAAAGATTTACAAAACTTTTTTTTATTAAGAGGTTATAAATAATTTGTTATAAGTGGATTTATTACAGACTAATTTTTGCTTAACTTTTATTAGTCTTTTTTATATCGAAGATTTTTATATTGATATCATATAAATCGCAATATGTAAAATACAATGTTACCTCACTAGAGATCTATATAGATTGTGTGATAAATTTGTTCTAAGTTTGTCTCACATAAGGCATATTTCTAATTTGGTTTACACGATCCAAATTAAGATTTGATCAATTTATACTTTGGACATAGACACTACCTTGGACATGGCTTTCATTTGTCCATGGACATGGACTGTCCAAGTCCAATGCATGTCCACGTCTATGTCCATGTCCAATGACAACACTACTTCTACCCTCTAAAGATATGCCACTTTTCAAAGTGATTTTGTCTTTTTTTATTTGTAAGTTTGTTATTTCGATTTTTTATCATTTGTATATATTATATATAAAAAAATAATATACGTGGCTAAATTTTTTTTATACAATACAAACCTGTAATATGTGGCACTTGTGTTTATATTTACAAACAAACAAATTATACATAAGCTTATACGTATGAAATTTGGTCTGCCATTTTGTTATAAAATGAATTTATGTAAATTTATTATAATATTTCCCGATATACAGTAGAAATAATAAAAATAAAATAAAAGTTGCTGACCCAGAGGTCAGCTATATAACAGTTACACAAGGCGCAGTATATGTATGATTTTATGATTTAAAGTTCTCTGTAATATAGTCAATGCTCTTCCAACTTAATTTTGAAATTCTTAGTGCCAAATAAGATTTAACCCATTGCATTTTATCAACACCAATTTCAATAAAAAGCTTATATATTTTTCAGGCTCTTTTTGTTTGTTTCCAACGTGTAGTATCATTAATCTCTTTAGGCAATTGGTCTTTTACTTTTTTATCTACTTTACTCTGGGCCTTACGATCTCGATATTTTTTTTTGTTTTTATAATAATTTAAGCGATCGGATAACTTTCTACCAAATTCAAAGTAACAATTTAAAACCTTTTGACTTGCAATATCATTATCAGCTTTGGCTTTAACAATTTCTTTGTAAAGATAAGTATAACTATCTTTAGATAACTGAGAAGCAAATATTAAATCTTTATTTTTTTATTTTTTTTTCTCTTTAAGGTGACTTCTTTGGTTGGTGAATTTTATTATAGTTAAATCGGGGTTAGTAATATTTACAATGATTTTAACTATATATATTACAACCTGCCTTAGGACTATCTTTAATTATCCTCGAGGTAAACCTGACATCGCATTACATGTTCTACACATGATAGTGCATGCTCATTCAGTAATTACTTCCCAATTAATACATATTGTCTGTCATCATTGTGTCTGTATCTCAAGCCATCTTTTGGGATGCTGCTATAACACAATCCATATCTCAAGTACAACCTTCCTAATTAGTCCTTCATTACTTTACTTCTGCCCTTATTAAGTTCATAACCAACCCCAGTACCAACATTTCCTGACGTATGAGTTCGGCTCCGAAGACATCCCTTCTTCCAATCCAGTTAGCCTGTAAGTCCTCCCACCTCCAATGGCCAGGTTGGTGTAACTCTGCCTACAAGGGTCATGATCGCCAGGCCTCTGGTTGAGTTCTCAGTATAGTCTTTACTCTGTAGTACCATCAAAAGTTAGCCACTAATCTTAATTCGGGACTTCACAAATGGGTTTCTGTATACAAAAAAGATTCCTAAGATTTACACAATCTTGAACTTATCGAGAGTTTGCACTGCCCTAAGCCAGTTTGCATTCTTTTATGGTCCTCGAGTTTCCTCAGTTGTACGAACGCCAGCGGATCTTTCAGGAATACTACGCCCTAGTGTGACTTAAGTTACAGATACCCTAATCCAATCATCTTATACAGGTTACCGAAACACAAATCTATTTTTCAAAATCGTCGTCTGTGGGATTTGAACTCTAGACCTGCTGCTTGGAGAAAGTAACGACTAGACCACTTCACTAAGCCGCCACGCCTTTGTGAATAAAATTTTTCTAATCAAATATACTGTATATGAATTAAATTATTGTTTTAGAACGTAAGTATAAAATTATTTCAGATTGGAATACCTATAAGTGAATAAAATTTCTTTAATCAAATATACTACATATGAATAAATTATTGTTTCAGTTGGTAAGTATAAAATTATTTCAGATTAGAATATCTATAAGTGAATAAAATTTCTCTAATCAAGTATATTGTATATTAATTAAATTATTGTTTTAGATCGTAAGTATATAATTATTTCAGATTGGAATATCTATAAGTGAACAAAATTTCTCTAATCGAATATACTGTATACTTATGAATTAAATTATTGTTTAGTTGGTAAGTATAAAATTATTTCGGATTGGAATATCTATAAGCGAATAAAATTTTTCAAATCAAAAATACTATATATGAACTAAATTATTGTTTTAGATAGTAAGTATAAAATTATTTCAGACTGGAATATCTATAAGTGAATAAATTTTCTTTAATCAAATATGCTATATAATTTATGTATAAATTAAATTATTGTTTTAATTAACAAGTATAAAATTATTTCGGATTGGAATATCTATAAGCGAATAAATTATTGTTTTAGTTGGCAAGTATAAAATTATTTCGGATTGAAATATCTATAAGCGAATAAAATTTCTCAAATCAAATATACTGTATATGAACTAAATTATTGTTTTAGATGGTAAGTA